AGAATACGAAACAAAAGCCAGTCAAAGTTAGAAAACGCGAGGGCAAATTTTAGGGTGCAACAGTATGGATTGTCACCCAGTCTTCTAGACCGTGGTGAGGACATGTTCTCATCATATCTTTGAATCGTTCCCATGCTTTGTAAAGAGATTCAGTATCTTTTTGTCGAAATCCGTTGATTTGAGCTCTAAGCATAGCAGTTTTGCTTGGCGGAAAATATCTCCCTAAGAAGACGTTCTTCAATTGTTCCCACGTCGTAACGGAGTTGGACGGTAAAGATTGTAACCATGTCCACGCTCTGTCTCTAAGAGAGAATGGGAAAAGACGAAGTCTTATCGCGTCTGGAGTTACTCCATTTGCTTTCACTATGTCTGTGTATTGTACAAACTTCATTAGATGTTCGTTCGGATCCTCAGTTGCGTTTCCTGAGAATTGGTTTTGTTGTACAGCTAACAGCAATGAAGGTTTTAGCTCAAAATCATTTCGGGTAATAGCTGGGGCAGCAATGCTACTTCTAGGCTCCATCTGAGAGGGTGTAGCATATGCCTTCAGCGGTTTGTTTGGAGGTCCTTCAGCCATGTTTGATTCTTCTTCGGATTTGGGAATGGGAGTGAGAGGATCGGGAATGTTATGTTTGAGTTGGTACTCACTGATTCGACTTCTTAGATGTAAGAAGCGTTCTAGTTCTGCGACTGAAGGTTTCAAGATATCGCCTTGTGAGCGATTACTTGGCATACAATCGACAACACTAGTAAAGGAAAAAATGAAAATTGTTAACCTAGTCTATACGGTGTAATAGAAGGTTACACTATTGACTAAACGGGTCCCCGGCAACGGCGCCAAAAACTTGATCGCGACTTTCTATGTCTAATACAACCTAACTGCAAATGCACAGTCTATCGCGTAGTAATAATAGATATCGATCCCACAGGGACTCGTAATCAAACTAGTGTTCTCGGGAGTTACTATGTTTAGCTAGGTAGAATATGTTTAAGGGAATAAGATTGTCACTAAAAGGGAACTAAGAATGCTACTTAGATTATAATTGATTAAATCGATATGCAATAATTGTGTTCTTCAGGGATTTGACAAGTTACCGGTGTATGAAATAATTTTCAGAGTTTATTTAAGCAGAAAATAGTGATTTAAAGATTCTCGCCTCACGATGGTTATTGACGCTAATCATAATCCTAAGGGCCAAACGTACACTTTCGTATCCCGTTCGGGGTTAAAATCATTTTTTGGAAATCTCTAAGTTCTAATTCATTTTAAAGTGCTTTCGCTGTTATTAAAATGAATGACTAGTGTTTACTATCTGACCTTACCGCAGCTTTCGCTTGTTGGTTCGTATCTTAATTAATTTCCCACTTTCGTGGCAAAACTACTTTTAAATAAGTTCTCGCTTTCGCGACGAAGTTTATTCAGTAAATCAATTTTAAACACTCAGACCATAAATTACTTTTTTGAAAAGAAAGTTTTTCAACCAGTTGTTATCAAATCCCATTCGAATTATTACTACATATCGATTACCTAAGTTTAGCTAGACATGGATTTGGGAAAGATAAAATATAAATAAAAATAATAAATAATGATTTGCATTGTAATAAAACTGGAATCGATTGAAATGAGAAACCTGTAAATATTCCAATTGGCCTTTGGGCAGATCCTCCACAGATGTTGGCAGGATTCTGGTCTTTATGCCAAATTGATCGTACAATAAAGTAAAAATTACAGAAGAATGAAAATGGAATACAGAAGAAGTAAAGAGAAACAAATAAGAATATAAAGCTGGAAAGTATGCTCTGGAAATAAATTTGGCAGCACTTCATTGTATGAATGCGGCTCTTTTCTGAAGTCCCCTGCTTTCCCTTTTATAGAGATGGAATTCTAACGGTTACTGCTGGAGAGAGTGGACTTTGAGGCAGATAATTCAGGGAGTAGTGGTCCACTCTTTGGGAATTGGAACTGCTTCTTTAACGTGTAATTGAAGTGGGGCGTTTTTGCCTGCATGACGGTCGTCACAAGGTGTGACGGTCGTCATGAAGCTGTGACGGTCGTCACATCAGCAAAAACAGCTTCTACGCTTTTTATGATGTTTTCACTCTTTTTTCGTCCATAATTCATCTGAGATTGCTTCTTTTCTTCATGTTGCCTTGTTTAGACGTGATCGTTGAATACCTGCAAAACATCAGACAAATAACACGGAAATAACCCAAAATCGGATCAAAAACGGTTAAACTTTAGTTGAATTATGCATCAAAATATATATACGATTTCGTGTTATCACATTTGAGTATGATCATTGTATTTTAATTCAATTGGTTGAATTAATGGAACAAGAACCATATTTGATGTTGGTTCAAGTTTTGTGGCAAGTGGAATCTCAAACTATGTTGAAAAACAAAAAACTGAGATTTCTTGTGTGTGACTCGAATCACTCACAAATCATGACTCGAATTAAATCAAATAAACTCAAATCAAACAAGAATACTTTTTACATATGTGACTCAAATCACATTTTTAACTTGATTCGAATATGGAAACTGTTGCACCCCAAATTTGTCCTACCTTTACATAGTTTCTAGTGCCACTTTATTTCGAATGAATAAATGGCACAATTGGCAAGAGTCCGTGTGTAAGTAGTTGTGAGTGTGAGAGGTTAAGAGTTTGAATCCCACCTTCTTCACTTTTTGTTTTGTTTCTTTTATTTTTATTCTAACTTTTCTATTTTCATAAAAAAAAATAACAAATCAAAATAATGCTTTTGCGCATCAATATAAGGAGGCAGAGGACCACCGTAACGAATTCTCTGTAGCTTTTTATGGACCCGGCCCAGATTTTAACAGAGATCTTATTCGAGGATCTTGGCGCCCTCAAAGGCGTAAAACAGTTATTTCGAGACTCTTTCAAGCAAATGGGAATGTCCATTCCCCCCTTTTTTTTTGGATATGATCAACAAAAGCAATTCCTTTTTGTTTGATGTTTTGGAGGACATGTGGGACTATTTGACCCTATATTTCAAGAAACCCGATCCTGATAATGTATCATTTTTGAGGTTAAAAAAGGCAAAAAAAGAGAACGAGCAAAGATTGAGAATGGAACAGTACGCCCAAGACGAGGCTGTTGAGACACTTCGAAGAGTCGAAGAAGCCTGGGAGAGCATTCTATATGGTCTAGTAATCATAAATTTTGTATTGTTATTTATGTCCAGGTTTCGAAAATATATTCTATTACCGTCGTTGATAATAACGAAAAATATCATTCGTATATTATTATTTCAAGATCCAGAATGGTCAGAAGATTTTGGGGATTGGCAAAAAGAAACCCATATTAACTGCACCTATCGGGGCACTCCAGTATATAACAACGCATTGCCATACAACTGGCTCGACGCCGGTCTTCAGATAAGGGTCTTATTCCCTTTTGTTCTGAAAGCTTGGCACGAGAAACCTAAGGTACTATCTACTGAAAAAAAACAATACAGTGAAAAAATATCCGCTGGAGATGAAAAAAGAATCTCTTCAACCCACTTATGGTTTTTAACAGCTTTTGGAACAGTACTCGAATCGTACCCTCAGGTGCATGTACCAAACCCATTTGCATTTTTGGGTCCCATTTTAAAACAAATAACAAAAAAATTGAAAAAAGATTTGAAAAAATGTTTGAAAAAATGGGATAATGAAGCAAAAGAAGAGTCTCGAATCCTGTTAAAAGAATTCAACGAAATAGAAATTGAAAAAAATTCACCAATCAGTACGAGTAATGCAACTATTAGCCCATCCACAGCCACAGCCACAGCCACAGAAAGAAGGATAAAAATCACAGAAAGAAGGATAAATCGTTTAAATGCGAAAAGAAATAAAATCTTAAAAGAAATGGAAAAATTGAGAAAAGAAAGGGTTATAACTAATCCTACAACATTAGAATTACTCAAAAATAGTTGGAAAATATTCAAAAGAAGAAACGTTCGATTAATCCGTAAATCCTATTGTTTTTTCCAAATTTTCATGGAAAGGCTATACACGCATATCGATACCATAGATATCTTTAATATTAACTATATTATAGGATTTACTATTCACTATGTAGAACATTTCCTTACTTCGAGCATTGTACAACGTTCTCTTAATTTTATTAATAATTCTATTAAATTAACTCGTGATTTATTGGAATCAACAAAGAAATTTGTAAAAAAATTCATTTACACGAAAAAAAAAATGAAGAATATATTGATACAATAAATCAAAGTATAATTCCATTTATGTCGGTTGTAGACAAACAAAAACGTCGGAATATGACGGATATGTATTCACAGAATTCTTGTGATGTATCTTCTTTGTCACAAGCCTATGTATTGTTTCAATTATCACAAATGCAAGTTAGTAATGGATATAAATATAGGTTAAGATCTATTTTTGAATCACCTGGAAAATCTTTTTTTCTTCCGAATGAAATAAAGGATTATTTTTTAAAAATACAAGGAGAAAGATTCAATTCCAAATTAAGCCATAAGAACCGTCCCGATTCTATAATGAATCAATGGACAAATTGGTTAAAGATTCATTATCAATATGCTTTACCTGAGAGCACATGGTCGACATTAGCACCACAAAAGTGGAGGACTACAATCCATGAACATCGCGTGGCTCAAAATAAAGATTTACTTGACTATGATTCATCGGAAAAAACTCAATTAATTGTTTCCAAAAAACAAAAAGTAGACTTATTAGAAGAAGTAGACTTATTAGAACAAGTAGACTTATTAAAAAATAAAAAAAAAACAAAAAAACAATATGGATATGATCTTTTTGCCTATCAATATCTAAATTATGTAGATAAGAATCAACCTTCTATTTATAGATATACATCACCTAGTTATAACACACCTAAAAATATAAAAGAAGTATTTGATCTAATGGGCGATAGTTTTATCCAAAATTATATAGCAGAAGATGATGAAAATAAGCCGGATAGAAAGTATTTTCGTTGGAGAGAAAGAAGGATGGGAATGAATGAAAAAAGAAGGAGAAGGACCAAAATAAGAAGGATAGCAATGAATGGAAAAAGAAAAAAGAATTCCATAACGAATGACAAATTATTGACTCCGAGTTTTGGTTTTTTGTCAAAATCAAAAATAGATGCATATAAGAAGAATCCGTGGATCTTACCCCTAAATTTCTTGTTTATGACGTTTTATAGTCAGAAGAACATTACTGATGAACTGGAATTACGGTTAGAAAAGAAAGAATACGCGATTCACAGCAATCTAAAATCATATCTCGAAAGGTATTATAAGTCCAAGCATCGTTATAATGCAAATAGCCCTAAATACAGGAAGGATATGGCTGCAGAACATAATTTCTTAATAAATAGATATGTGGGTTATTATTTATGCTGTGCGGATCTTACGTACTACGACAAAAACTACGCGAAGATTGTCAGCGTAATAACTCTCCTGAAGAAAACGAAACAAGCAAAACAAATTTTGTTGTCTACTATAAGGAGGGGAGAACTAGATCTGGAAACTTTTGTGCGTATGGTGAGTGATGATCCTTGTTTTTTTTACAGCAGGGATATTGAGGAAGTGCAGGAAAACCTAGTTTTTTGTTTAGAACCCATTCGTTGTTCTTACAAAAAAAACTACGAACAATCATTTCTATATCAAACCATAAGCGTATCATTGAAGCATAAACGCCAAATTATAAATAAAGATAAAAATCATTATGATTTACTTGTTCCTGAAAATATTTTCTCCCCTAGACGCCGTAGAGAATTGCAAATTCTAACTTGTTTGAACCATAGGAAGAATCGGAAGACGATGGATAGAAACACAATAACTGATAAAGAAAAAATGAATTCTTCTGAAGTTTTGACTAAAAAGAAAGATCTTGATAGCGATACAAAAAAACTAAGGAATTTAAAATTCTTTCTTTGGCCAAATTATCGATTCGAAGATTTAGCTTGTATGAACCGCTATTGGTTTGATACACATAATGGAAGTCGTTTCAGTATATTGAGAATACGTATGTATCCTCGCCTCGATTGAAAATCTAGATTTTTGTTCTATTTATCCTAATATTTCTCGTAACATATCTATCTGATATGTGAACAATATTTATAGATAAATAAAATAAACGTCCACACACATTGTGGGAGTCATACGAATTCAATTTCAATGATGTCTCCATAAATCCATCGAAAAATGAATAAAATCTATTGTCTTATTTTTGTCTTTGAAATACAAGACAATAGATTTTATTCATTTTATGAATCCATAAATATAGTATTTATTATCTATTTGAATTACATTCCTTAATAATGAATTTGAAAAAAAAAAGAAATTCAGAATTGTTAAATAAATGAAGAGAAAATTTTTTATAAAAAATTAAAAATAAGTGTAATTACTATTACTGATCAATAAAAATATCTACCAAAAAGGAGGGGGGGAAAGCTTTCATTTTATGATCAAAAATCCAGTTATACCTGTTATTTCAAAAAAAAAAAAAAGAAGAAAACCCGGGATCGGTTGAATTTCAAGTATTCATCTTAACTAATAAGATACGAAGACTTACTTCACATTTTGAATTACATCCAAAGGACTATTTATCTCAAAGAGGTTTACGTATAATTCTGGGAAAACCAAATCGAATACCTGAATATTCTGTTTGATAACTAGCTACTAATTCTTCTTCTGCTTCTGGTAAATCAAAAGGTAATCTTTCACATTCTGCTAGCGAAGAAATTATAAAAACGATGAAACCCATAGGTTGACGCCACAAATTCCAACCCCAAAAACCATATTTTGATTGCGCATCAACTATATCAATTGTACTTAAACTGTTAGGTAATCCTAGTCGGTGATAACATTCCTGTTCCCATCTCTATTACAGAATCGTACATGAGATTTTCACCTCATACGGCTCCTGGAAAGCCTTAAGTAAATCTAAGGACCGGGTCGATTATTTATCTCTTGATATATCCCTAAGATATAGAAGATTAAAATCTATCAAACGGTTCTGAATTAGACCAATTCAATTCTGTCTGTTCTAGAAATAAGGAAATAAGAAAGAGAAATTGATTTTCATAAAAGATCCAATTAAAGCACTTCTGAATTGCTCTCATCCCTAAGAAAATACAAATTTGTTGAGTAATAACTGAATTCTTCAATAAAATACTCTTTTATAATTCTCAATAACCCTCATGATTTTGAATGACGAAAAATAATTACACATTCGTTTCTTAATTATGATGTGAATTTTATCTCCATGAATATGGATATAAGAAATAAAAAATGAAAGAGAAATCTATTTTTCGTTTTTGATTTCTTATTTTTTTTCGTTCCTATTCTTCTTTTTTGTGCTATGAAATGATAAAGGGACCTCCAAAAATTGGAAAGGATTTTTTCGTTCCTGATAGTAATTTATTTAGTGAGTGAATGGAAGCATACTCTGGATCGGAGTTGTGGGGAGTACTGCTTTCTTTTTTCTACCAACTTAAAGCCCCCAATTAGTATTCTTTTTATATTCTGCGTAAATTTTCTTTTGGATAATTTACAAAATCTGTGTTACTAATCCTTTGTGTATCTTGGTGTTTCTAACCATCCAGTCTTTTTTATTAACCCCTTTATTTATTTTTATATATCTATGATAATTCATAAAAATGGTAACTAAAACTCAATAAGGTTGGTCTTTTGAGACTGCTTCAAAACAGGATGACAAATTATCCAATCTTGGGTTAAATGTCCTCTTCTGTTTATAATTTTATTTCATTCTTATACATAGAAAATGAGACTCAATATTTTGACTGCCCTTATAAAATCATCATACTATCTATTAACTAGCAGGAATCTAGTATTCTGAAATTAGATTCAATATAAGCTGTTTTATTTCACTCATATAACTATCTAATTTAGTTCTTCAATCAGAATTTTGAAAAAGAAAATAAAGATAATGAAGGTTTCTATTCAATTTATTCGCTATATAGTACTATACAGAAATTATAGTACTATATAGAAATATAGTACTATAAAGAGAGGAGTATAGCAATAGAATAGCATCGAATAGCTTTTTCGGTTTCAACGAATCGCACGTAGAGATATTGATAAAACACATAGAGTTAATGGTATTTCATAACTAATCGATTGAGCAGCAGCTCGTAGACCACCCAAAAAGGAATATTTATTATTTGAGCCATATCCTGACATAAGAAGTCCAATGGGAGCAATACTCGAAATAGCAATCCATAAAAAAACACCCATATTGAAATCAGATAAAACAAAATTATGGCCAAACGGAATTACTGAATAACTTATTAGAATGGATATGACTGATATGGATGGTCCAATACTGAATAAATGAATATCTCCCCTAGATGGAATAAGATTCTCTTTGAATAGTAGTTTTGTTCCGTCTGCTAGAGCTTGAAGCATTCCAAAGGACCAGCATATTCAGGTCCAATACGCTGTTGTACCCCTGCAGATATTTCTCTTTCTAACCATACAATTGCTAGTACACTTATTGTAATTCCCAAGACAAGAATCAAAATTGGTAAAAGTATCCATAGAATTCCATAGACCTCTTTGAAAGATTCCAATCCGGAAAAGGAGTTTATATCTTGGACTTCTGTTGTATCAATTATCATTTCAACGATCAACTTCTCCCATAATGATATCTATGCTACCTAGTATTGTCATAATATCAGCCAATTTCATTCTTTTAACTAATTGAGGAAGAATTTGCAAATTGATAAAACCGGGTGGACGAATTTTCCATCTCCAAGGAAAACCATTCTGATCTCCTATTAGAAAAATTCCTAATTCTCCCTTGGGGGCCTCAATTCTCACATAAAGTTCTTGTTTCAACAATTCAAAAGTAGGAGACAATTTTTTACCAATGAATCGATATTCAAAATCATTCCATTCTGGCTCCTTTTCTCTATCAAAGCAGCGAATTTCAAAATTTTCATAAGGCCCCCCTGGAATTCCTTCCAAAGCCTGTTGAATTATTTTTATGGATTCCACCATTTCACCAATTCGAACTAAATAACGAGCTAATGAATCTCCTTCTTTTTGCCATTGAACTTCCTAATCCAATTCCTCGTAACACTCATAATTATCAACTTCACGTAGATTCCATTGTATTCCGGAAGCCCGAAGCATCGGTCCTGATAACCCCCAATTTATAACTTCCTCTCTACCAACAACACCCACTCCTTCAACCCGTTCTAAAAAAATTGGATTTCGCGTAGTAAGTTTTTGATATTCAATAACCCTTGTTAAAAAATAATTGCAGAAATCCAAACATTTATCGATCCAACCATAAGGTAGATCAGCCGCTACTCCCCCAATACGAAAAAAATTATGCATCATTCTCATACCTGTGGCAGCTTCGAATAGATCATATATTAATTCTCTTTCTCTAAAAATATAGAAAAAAGGGGTTTGTGCACCAATATCTGCCATAAAAGGTCCCAGCCATAGTAGATGAGAAGCTATACGACTTAACTCCAACATAATTACTCTTATATAGCTGGCTCTTTTAGGTACTTGAATATTTCCCAATTGTTCCGGTCCATTTACAGTTATTGCTTCTGTGAACATAGTAGCTAAATAATCCCAACGTGTTACATAAGGCAGATATTGTATAATTGTTCGATTTTCCGCTATTTTTTCCATACTTCTGTGTAAATAACCCAATATTGGCTCACAATCAGTAACATCTTCACCATCCAGAGTAACAATAAGTCGCAGAACACCATGCATCGATGGGTGTTGAGGCCCCATATTTACTATCATGAGGTCTTTTCTTGTAGCTGGGACATTCATAGGTTTTTCCTCGATTCATTCTTCCATGAATCGTTCAAAAAAAAGTTAATCAAAATTCAGTATCTAATAAATCGAATAATTGAAAATGATTCTTGAAATTAGCTAATTTGTGAATGAATCCCGAATACCCAACCGATTTATTAAATTTTGATAACCTATTTTGTTTTTCTTTGACAAATACGTTATCAAAATTTAATAAATTTTGATAACGTATTAATTCTGTATTGAATAGTATATTTCTTTATATTATCAAATATATATATATAAGTGAATTTCCATTTTTATCCAAAATGGTGCGGAGACAGGATTTGAACCCGTAACCTCAAGGTTATGAGCCTTGCGAGCTACCAAGTTGCTCCACTCCGCCATGCCATAAGAAGAACAATTGACAATTAATGGAAAACAGAGATTGAATTTGCCTGCCGCCCCTCCACCATATCTCTACAAATAGAATAAACCATTTATACGGAATGGTCAAGGGACCGTCCTATGATCGCAGATCATCAAAAAGAATAAAAAAATGAAGAGAATTTTTTATTCTTACCAACTCGATCTTGTTGCACCGGGCAACAAACATTGGTGAACCATTTCACGAAGTGCGTGTCTAGATAATCCAAAGTGTCGATAATTACCTCGTGATCTTCCAGTCGCAAAACAACGTCGATGAAGACGTGTAGGTGCACTATTACGCGGTAGTGCTTCGAACTTTGCCTTAATTTCCCATTTCTGACTTAACGACTGAGCTTTGCTCATTTCTTTTTTTGGAGATCGTCGAATCAAATGATATTTTTTTTCCAATTTTTGCCTCTTCTTCTCCCTGGCAATGCTACTTTTCTTTGCCATTATGATGATGATTCATTTCCTATTAGTATCAATGATAGAAATAAGTCGGATCCTAGATGTAGAAATAGAAGAAGCACCTTCTTCATACAAAGAGATTCAATTTTTGGAGATACAATAAAGAATGAAATTAACCAAATTTACCTGATGTAGATGCAATCAAGAAAGCTGCATAAGTAAATATATAACCTACCGAAAAGTGGACTAATCCAACCAATCTTGCTTGGACAATCGAAAGAGCCACAAGTTTATCTCTCCATCGAATCAAATTCGCCAAAGGTGTGCGTTCATGAGCCCATGCTAAAGTTTCAATCAATTCCTGCCAATATCCGCGCCATGAGATTAAGAACATAAATCCAGTAGCCCAAACAAGATGTCCAAAT